AATGGACTTTCAGACTATAAAAACATATAGCTGCAGTGTGCAGGTGAAATGACCCAAATTTCCCCAGTTACTTTCAGCAATATGGATGCCACCAGCAACACTAAGATGGTTTGGCGCGCACCTTAAAAACATGCAGAGCTTTGATTTACTGTGCCGGAAGTTAATTAAATCACTCTCTGGCCTATTGAGGAAAAAAAGTTTAATTAAAAGCATCGCCTTGATATGCGGCCACCGCGATGGCAGGGGGGTGGGATTAAGCATTGCTTTTCCTGCAAAACGCTGCTCTGAATCTAATTAGTGTGGTTATCGCTTCCCTGTTAATGGCGAACTCGAGGCAGGAATGGAGGTGGCGATAGCACTTTGGAAGGATCCTTCACGTGCAAGAGTCAAGAAAAAAACAAAAACCTGCATCGTAGTACGGTCTCTGCATATTGGCTCGCCCGCCTCCTAATAATTCTGAAATTCAAAATCATCCTGCAACATACAATTCTAGTGTGAATTGCGTCTGCGAGGAGAATTTTGTCCAAGACTTTGGCCTGAAGGAGTGAGGCATTTATTTTACCTGTAAACCTGACCCTATTTGATGCTTCAGCACTTCAAGTATATGAGCTTTTTCGAGCAGTAAGAAGCAAGTATCGCACAGACAAATTCGGGCAGACTTAAATGCTAATGATTAATTTAATTTGCCGCCTTTGCGGGTGCTCTCTCTCCCGAAACAACTGGGTTACAATGTTACAGTGCACCATTTTTTTCCCCCGCTGAATATATTACTGAGGCAGTAAGACCATTTGCACACACGCTCTATGATTAGTATAATTGAGTGGAATGAGAGTCACACCCACATAGTTTCACAGCTCACGGATACAGGCAGCAGGCAAATGAACTGTAAACCTTCTGGTCGTGAATTCGGCTCAGGAAGTTCCATTTATTTTTATTTTGTGCTGTTCCCAGCATAGTTCTTACAAAGTAGTTAAAGGAGCTTTATCCGGAAGCGCAGCATAGACTGATGTTGCAGTCTTTAAAAAGCAAGTAAATGGGAGGAGGTGTGGCTTAGGATGCCGTGCTGGTGTTCAGAAGGTCATCGGTTTAAGGCCCGTCGTCTACAGATGGATTTCACCCTGCTGTCTTGACTGTGCATCGCATTGGGTAAAAACTTCTGCTAACTAAATATATGGAACGAATGATAATGAGGGAGAGAAAAAGATCTTAGAGTTAAGAATGGGCTATAAGTTGCAGGAGAAAAAACTCAAAGTGAAATGACTGCCTATATTAGAATATAAATTAAGCATTCAAATGATCTCTTTGCATATTAAATTTCTTTTTCATTCCATATCAAGACCTTTTTACTATATATAATATACAAACCATCTAAATTATGCCATTCTATGTGCAAAGTTACCGCTTTACACTGTATGTTTTGGATAAAAATGCTAAATTAACGGCACTGAACAGTTTAAATGTGGGATTCCGCGGTCAGAGAGACAGATAACAGGCGAGTGAGGCTGCAGGGTTACCAAGACAGATATGCGCGCCGTACCCAAGCCGAGAACTTTCACATTTAAGATGTATTATGCACTTACATTAAGAAATATTATGTATTACCTATATTTACATGCCTGTTATATGCTTTTATATGATCCCAGTCATTTCCAGTTTTGTTTTTGGCTTTGCGTCTTTTGTGAGTTCCTGCAATCTTTCGATATGCTCCAAAAATATTCCCATTTACTTGTTCACGGCCAACTTGAGAATTACCAAAACTGTAAATATTAAATACGCCGATGTAAAGTGGTTACTGTATTTCCGCACAGCCTACATGACAGCTCATGCTACAATGCACGTGTGTTATTGAACATCTAGCCATCACGTGATTCTCAGTTAGGCGTTAAGGCTCATGATTTTCAGGCCACACCTACTGTATCTCTGATGAAAAATCAGATCGGATTGTTACCTTCCCCACAATATACAGATATACAGTCCAGTATTTTTTGGCCCAGTACCGATAGTGGGCATTGTATCATACTGCTGCTATCTATAATAATAACACATAGAGTAAAGAGTAAATATATACATAGCACTTTATTTAGAGCAGAAAATACTGTCAATTTTCATGTGTGAAATCACACTGCCAGGTTCAGGATTCTCTTTTATGCAAATGATTTATGCCCAGTGATGCCTGGGATAAGCTCCGCCCCTCCACCCTGATGGACTGGATGGATACGTACTCTGTACTAAAAAACACATGAAACAAACAACACTAATGATGATTATGAATAATTTGAATGATGAACCCATAAGAACCTCTTCGCTTAACCACCATCCATTCATTTTTATGTAACAGCAGAGACCATGAGCAGATACCATGGATGCCAGTCCGTCACATAGCGGCACAAACATACACACACACACACGCAAACACACACGGACACGCACATACACAGACACGTACACACACAAAGACACACACGCACATACATACACATACACAAAGGCACAGTCTATCCCATTATTCAAATGTGTCTGCTGTAAAAATGTACTTTTGTCTAACTAACATTAAACAAACGTCAGCACTTACTATCCACACTTGCTAAACGTTAGGTCAATACTTCACAGCTATACTGTTTATATGAAATGTACATTTGTTCTGTGATAAACCTCAAGACCTGTGTTGTAAATACATTTGTAACGGAGACTGGGATTTTCATTGTTCATTTCATTCTTTCTCACAAACCTTTTCATTTTTATCCTGAACCAGCATTCTGAGCAGCCTCCTTTGGTCCTGGGCTAGCTGTACCCGCGTGGTCGATACAAATAAATAATTATAAATAAACTAGCAATTTAACGGCCTACTGGCTCTCCCCACACCTGGCATCTGAAAGAAAATATCAGAAAGAGCATGATCAATGTTGTAAGCAGCCGGAGAGGAAAATCACACAACTCGATCCTAATTTGCTATTATTTCTCCCATTACAGTATAATTGAGTCGAAACTGATTCCCATGCTAAAACTGAAACTGAATTATTCAGGGTTGACTAAGAATGCACAAAGGCCATTTAGAAATGTTCATTTCTGATATTCTTGATGCATTACATCTAATTTCTTGAACTGTGTACAATTATAATAAAGTGATTCGGCTCGACCCCCTAAGTACCGTACAGGGCACAGACAGCCTCAGCGCACTGCCTACACGGAGAGAGCACTTTCAGGAAATAGCACCCAAAGACAACTATAAAGTATTAAGTGACTTCAGAAGTGTTATATAAATATTATTTAATTCATTCAATCAAATTCCAATCCTTGACCTCCCTAGTTGTAGAACCAAGCTGAAGCCACACCATACACAGGAAAGGATGCGTTATTTTTCAGGTGCACAAATATGAATACAGCTCCACTGGAATTCTTCAGTTTTCACATATCCCATCATGCTCTCCTTTGAGACACGCACACATACACAGGTGAGAGTGAAGCTTGGGGTCTGAGCGCAGGCTCAGCCATTTATCTGGCACTCCTAGAGCATTTTTTTCAGGGGGATTAAGGGCCTTGCAAAAAGGGCACAAGAGAGATGTGACTATTCTGCCGAGGACGGGATTCAAACCAACGACCTTCCTCTCACAGGCACAGAGGCCCGACCTCCTGAGTCACATACCACAAGCTACTGAACGTCGCCCACTGTTCTAACAGCTCAACAAACTGGCGGCCACAATTCCACTCTTAATTTCAGTTCCGGCAACAAAATGTACACTTTTACTTCTAACTGGTATAAGGTTATCATTCTCAAGGGACTGGGGGTACGGCTGGTCTGACACTACTATTGATTTTTTTTTCCCCATTTGTGTCCTATTCTCTGTTGTCGTCTTGCTTTGCTCCACTCAGACTTTTAATAATGTGTACCAAACACTATATCCATCTATGATACTGTTTCCTGTTACTGTTGGTAAATCTCTATTAAGTGCTTTGGGGCAACTATGTTGAGCCCCATGAAAATAAAACGCACGAGAACTGAATTGAAAGTCTTGGTTCTCTATAAGTCTCCTCTGCCGCTCATTTGTTAGCTACAGGAACGGGGCAGGATCAGCAGAAGGCAGTAATGTGGATGTACAAACCACACGAACACATGAGACAAGGTGATGGAGCATTGGTGTGAACTCTCCTTGGCTTGCAATTCTTCAATAAAACATTCTGAATCTTGTGTCTTATTATAAAGGTCAGCAAACGCTGACATTAAGCCACGGAAAAGCATCCTCCAAGTCTGTAAGGGAGTTCATGCATATAAAAAAAGCTCAAAGGTGAAATTACTTTTTGCCAGAGAAGAGTCGTAGACTTTTAGTTTTCTTTCCTTTTCGTCGCGAAGCCTGAATGTGCTGGGAAGCGTCGGCACTCTCGGACAGACTGGCGGCGGCTGCCTTTCCGTTACACCGCGACTGCACCTCGTTTACCTGAAAAGCGCTGCACTGAGCTCGGCTGACGTTCCTTTAGAAACACTCTTACTTCTGGGAGATTCTCCCGACTCCAGCCAGCTGTCACCCCGTGACACCCAATCAGCAGCTGATATTCACGTCTGCGTCAGACACCACCAGCACCGGGCGACACGAGAGGTGCGACTTCTTACAACTCGCTGCACAGCAATTTGTAGATCACGTCTATATTATTTACCATGTCCCTTAATCACAGCAGACCAGCCCTTTCCTTTCCACATTTAATTACTCTCTACATTTTTAAAATGTAAAGCTTTTCACAGTTTCAGAAGTGATATTCAAACCGCATTCTAAATAGGAGTGAAAAATAACATACAGTGAATATCGCCAGGAGAGTCACCAGTGACATCAGATCACAATCAGTTAGAAATTATATATATGCATATTTTTTTGGAGATAAATGACAGTGGTGCTATCTCTATATAAGCTCTCTCTCTCTATATATATACAGTATATATATATACTGTATATATATATATATATATATATACTGTATATACACACAGACACACACACTCAGAAGTGCACCTTTTCTTCCTGTGTGAAACGCTGTGCCTTGTTTTGTTAGGACACCTCAGATCAGAGGCATACGTATCCGCAGCTCCCACTCAGGTCCAGTGTTACAGTTCTTGTTCTGTAAAAAAAGGGACCAATCAATAATTTAGGTAAGTTTCAGGGGAAAATTCCCCCGGGGGCAACATTCCAATCTGAAAAGAGTTTAAGGTGTTTCCCAGACAGGGCTTTCTGTAGAGGTCCTTCTTTAGAAGCGAGGATCTGCCCAAAGCAGTAAGAAAGCTGCATGCCCCCCTCCCCCCGCCGCCCCCCCTTGCTCTGTATTGATGTTTTTAATTGCGTCTCAGCACCTGACCTGCACCTGAAGACCCTAGAGGCCCATCTCTGAATTATTTAAGCATTGCACTTATAGACAAGCGAGACTGTGGTTTGAGCAGCATCGGGTCACCGCCATGACTTCCGTCCCCCTCCCGCACTCCCACCCCCGTCCCCCCACTTATTCCCAGGTGGCTGTTGCTCATTGTGGCTGAATGGTCGCGTCGAATCCTGGGTCTTTCACTGGCAGCCCTGTCACTCTATCCCGGGAATGACCTCTCGCTCACTGAAAAGGCTCATTCAGAAAAGAAGATTCTGCCTCGTTATTAAGGTTTATTAACTGTCATTTTAAAAAGTCTAGAAGTTTCTAATTGTAAAATGTGTTCTCGCAAGCGAAAAATAATGAGTTTTATTGATCATGCTGCTTATTCTATATGCTTGGATTTCTAAACAAATAACAAGCATTATGATGTGAATAGTATATTTTAAACTTCCTCGGCAAAGGGAAGATATTAATTGTACCTATAATAAGGTTAAGTGTATTTGAATAATGCAGCAAGCAGAGTCGTAAAAGCTTCAGCTGTGTGATTAGTCACATTCCTGCATTTGTGTTCACGTTAATGCTATTAGTTACTTGTGCAATTTTGCCTTAATTTTAAGAAGAACTACATCTCATTACATGTTTGGCAACCAAGGATTTTACCTAATTAAAATACATTGTTGGCTGACATAACACGACAACACAACCTACGCTTCAATTAAATTAAATAAGGTACATCATTTTATTAAGCCAATGTCAGTACTAATTTAGCTAATAAAAAACATGTTTTTATCATAGTTATCCAACATTCAATAACTGATGCAATACACACAAATAAACATGAATACAAATTAACACTTTTAGCTGCAATAAAACAAAAACAATTTTAAAAGTCCACTAAAAACAAAAAGACAATATTTCCGATCAATATTATCTAGTTTTCTTCTACAAGAAGCATGACCGTGAAGTACAGGAAACAACACTGGTAATATATCTATGCAAGTCTTAATGATTCATTCAATTTTAATTGATTGGAATGTATACCACAAAGAATGGTAGTATGTTTTCTGGAATTGAACTGCAATTCTTAAGCTTTTTTCCCTTATTTGAAACATACTAAGAAAGGGATGTCATTTCAGATATATTTATTGATTCTTTTTTTTTTTATCAAGATTGAAGCAGAATTTAAAACATTTCGTACAGTGCATGTGACATTGTAATATACCTCATTGCAGTAACAGGCTCATTCTGTATACTAGTCATATCGTATGTATGGAGCCTCGGTTCATTCTAAATTCTTTAGATGCATTTACAGTAGAACTCATAGAACAAACCTTGTGAGTTAAAGAACTTCAATAAATGAACACGCACCTGGTTTGGCCGATTTGTAGTTGTTTACTTCAGGAATTACAGCAGCATTGATTTGATTAGCAGGGCTTCAATAATGAACACGTTTTCCAAAGGAAGTCACAAATCAACATGTTGATCGATGATCAGCGGTGCTTTAATTGCATGGGCACTCGCCCCCATATAAATCTATCATTTTGACAGGCAGTTCATATATTATGTATTTGTCCATTTAAAAAGGAATTAAGTACATAAAGAGTGACAGAATGGAAGTCAATGCCAATTTTTTATGATCTAAGTGATTGCAATATTTGTTCAGTTTCTATAAAAATGTAATTATACTACCTAATGTCAACACCTTCTCTTCAAGCAGTCGCAGTGCCTGCTATGGTGAAATTTTCCCTTGCATGTTCCATAGGTGAAAGGAAAATGGATTTTTTTCTCAAAATAAAAAATAAAAACTTTCAAGTGGTGTCATTTATTGTTTCAATATTTTTTTCCTTTTTTTTCAAATTGTCACTCATTGTCTCTGTGACTTTTGTAAATACAGTAATTTGGTTATAATGAGTCCCAAGAACCAGTTCCACAGTAAGTAGTTTTACTGATTCACCCCAAGGAATGACGAACACCATAACGAACCCAGAAATCAGGGTCAAAATGCAGCCTATGTTCTGCCATGAATCTAGGGCAGTGAGAATATCAAGGCAAAATCACACAGAGAAAACAAGGTCAAGAAAACAGACAAGAGTTCAGAAACCAGAGGCAGGCGAACAGAAGCTCGGCAAGCCAATAGCTCAGAAAGAAGCAGACTCGATACCTCACAGAACATCCTTCGGTGAATGTCCCTATATCTGTCTCAGGTTAATTAAGGCTAGTATTACATTGATCTGGGGTGTGGTCTGACAGGGCATGGTCTGACTGGGCATGGTCTGATAGGGCGTGGTCTGACAGGGCGTGGTCTGACTGGACGTGGTCTCATTGGCTACAGGAGCTGCTGACTGAAGGTAGGCTTGAAACTAGCTAACAAATAAGCCTCATTTGTGAATAATACAATTCATAAAAATCTTCCCCTAGAATATTACTGCTAGAGAATATGCGTACGAGAATACGGGAATGAAAAAAGAAGTAGAAAATAGAATAGATATAATGTAGCAGTAATAGTAAGTAAATAGTAAATAGAACTGAACTGCAGTTTAAAAATCTTTTTATCGATATAAGTTGAAAGAGAGAAAATGCTTTACATCCATTTCCTCTTGCTAAAATCTCTTGATAATTTATCTGTATTTAATATACCTTGATCAACATTCAGATGATGCATTATTATGATGAATCAGTATTACTGTGAGAACCTGTGTACTGCTGAGGGCATCCAAATGATTGATAAACATCTGTCCATCCTCCTGACGTCAACGTACACATATGGGTGTGAAGCTGAGCTGTGGCCCAAACAGCGTTTTGCACTCGTATACGGGCTGCATCACGTTGCAGGGCACGCCTGATCAAAGGGACAAGAGGTCAGTCGGTTTACAAAACTCTCGTGACGGGCTTAAACAGCTGAGACTGGACGTAAAGGCCGCTCTTGATGGCCTATCGCTGTGATGCGGTGAACAGCTGCGGATTTTATATAGCATTGTTCTGGGGGGACTTTCACGGGAGGAACACAGAAGTCATGTAGGAATAGAGCAGTAACCATAACAGTCGGCAAGCCAGACTCTCAGTTCTGGAAACGTCGCCAGGAGACACACAAAAACGGCACAGCTATATATTCCATTGAGTTATGAAACAAACATTGTTTTTGTTCTTCTCTTTTGATGGACGGACCAAAACATAGCTGAAACGTTACATGCCTTTCTTCAGTCTGCAGTTTTATGATGGATGAATTTGAGATGCACTAGGCCGTTAAAATGGTAAACCGCGATGAGGAAATATGATTTCCCGCTTTGGCGAGTCCGCCGCGCGCTTGGCTGGTATTACATTTATGGGCATAATGCAACGTTGTATCTATGAAAGAAAAACGCCAAGCGAGGAACATTCATCTTCATAACATCCAGCTAACCATCATGGCACCCAGCACCCAGCCATTTCTCTGCTTGGACCCCCTCTGCTTTGCACTTTATGCATGGTCATGTCCTTCCATCCTGCAGATCACAGTGGACTTTAACCCCTTCACCTCTCCCAGTGAAATACATCACCCTAGGTGTCACCTTTAATAAAAGACACCAAGCACAACATATGGTGTGCACTAAAATTTACCGAAGTAAAACAAAAATAAAGACCCACCTGAAATGTCTGAAATTACATTTTTAACTAGACAAAATCAAGCATGAGTAAGTCAACACTGGATACAACACAGTTAACTTCCTTTCTGTTACAAAACGATTGAGAATACAAGGAGCACTACTGTCTCTTAGCAGTTTGGTCGAAGCTAAGATTACTTGAAGCTCAACTGTGCAGAAAAAAACTCTTTGTGCAGTATTGTGGTAGGTAAGCCATTAAAGCTTTGAAACAGCGCCCAATAAGGTTTTAAAGTCACCAGTCAGTCTGCATACAATGAACAAAAGCTGGAACTTGTCTCAGAAATGAACCTCTAGCCTTCTATTTGCAGTCATAAGACCCAGATTAACTGCCTTAGAAATGTGTTCATATTTCAATCCAGCAAATATAACTAGAATGGGCACTTTAGAGATAGAAGTGATTGGACTGTTTTCATTCTTTCATCCCTTTAAAAATAAAGACCTACAGTGTACAGAGCAAATTTTTAAAAGAGAAATATCAGAAGCGTACTATTCTCCATTTTCCTAGCATCAAGTCAAGCCATGCCTGAGTAAACATTACAAGACAAAATCCATTTCTCTGCACCTCAGAGAAGTCAGTGATGTAACCTTTTCTGTCTTCTGTAGATTGAAACACGCCTGCACATCTTGAAAAGCAAAAAACACTATAATGGGAAAACAAAGCGCTTTTATTTCAAATTGGTGAAACTAGACAGTATTAATGAGGGATGTATATAACAGGCAGATAAAAGTCAATCCTGTCAATATTTCATTTACATGCCGAAATATCTTTCTATGCAGGTGTCCTTAACAGACTTACATTTACAGCCTGTGTCCTGTTATATTGCTGACCTGCATGCATCATACATGCATAGATACATACATGCATACATACACATACATACATACATAGACATATATACACAGCAACATCAGTCATACATCGGTAACATTATTAATTTAATTAAAGGCTGCATGATGTTGCATAATCATACAATTATCTTGCTGACTTGCATTCATATATATCAGTAACACAGGATTCATTACTGCTTTGCAAAGAAAGTCCACTTAAATTAAAAACAGAAGACTTACAACTCTCTTCTTAATTGAAGCAGAGATACAAATTACCAGAACATCTTGGACGTGTTACTAAGACCATGAAGAGCACCTGACCTAGGAACACGCACAATGCAGCCTGACAGCCCCAGGACAGACGTAACACTCTATTTATTCTTATAGCAACTTTTCCAGCGCTGGGCAGGTCTTTGCAAGAATAAAGAGTATTTATAAATTATGATGCAGGTCACCCAAGCCAGGCGTAGCTGCTCTTAAATAGCAATCAGTGCCTGTAGCCAGAATGCTTTACATAATTCTGTGATTTTCATATGGAGTTTTAAAATATTTTCAGGGTATCTAATACACATACATACACGGGCTTAATGTTTCTGTGTAAAATTAAAAGACATAGTGCCATGAGGCAGCCATCTTAGTTTGTCATAAATCTGGCTCCAGTGTTTAGCAAGAGCTGAAACTAAATCTAAGCCAAAAATGTGTGGAATGATGAAGAACAATGGATTTCAGATATATAGTACATGGATATGAGGGTATAAAATATCTTTTTAAAAAGAGCTCATGCTTGTTTTCTGCTGGGAATCTATAAATACAGATTATAAATACAGAATTTCCCTAAACTCCTCACATATATCTCAATATTGTTTGTTATAAAATAACTAACAAACAAATAAAAGTGCCAGTGTATTAATTCAATCTGCCTGTGAGCTTAAGCCCTACAGCAATCAGGTACTTTCCTACATGTTGCAATCAGTAAGTCACAATTGTCTTTCTCAGGCCTTATTATTAAATGTCCGCAGAGCATCTAACTCACATTAAGTACTTTGCAAAGCTTCTCCGGGGGAAAAACTCAGTCTCTGGAGAGTGATCGTGTCTGTTGTAATGACACCATGTCAGTACGGAATGGAAGAAACTTGCAGGCCTTATTCGTAATGTGCGGACAATTGCACACAGCTTAAGCGTAAAACAACAGTAAATTAAAAAATAAATAATAACATCTACATATAATAATATCTACAAAGGATAGCTGGTTCAAGCTGCGAAAGGAATCTCTTGTGGTTTCCCACAGATGCAGAGTGAGTTGACCCTAAACTCGTCTTTGTCCAGACGCCCTCAGCTTTGATTAATTGTTTACATGCACAATAGCGTGAAAGTGGACACCCATCATCCTATCATCTTTGGAAATAAGCTCTCGGCTTTAAAGGTAGATTCTATTTCAGGAAGTCTGCTTCTGTGTGGAAATAACGAAGGGAAAGGTGAAGAGAAAACAAAGAACATGACTCATGTCTGGGAAGATGTCCAGGATCCGTTTAAATTTATCCCATGAAGACATAAGGCATTTCTGAAGCATGACCCTTCAGAAAAGGCATTTTTTTAAAATGTGAAGTGCACAGGTAAGCCCCACATTTCTGAAGTACGCTGTCATAGCCTTTCATAAGTGCTGGGGGGGGGTTCCCTTTTTGTCGGCGGTCGACAGGCCTGGAATTAGCCATGCATCGGGGAGCAGGATCTGTTTCAGTAGACATTGAAATCGCTTATGTGATTCTGCCTGGGGTGCAGTTTGCACAGTCGAGCTCTTTGAAATTAATTCAAGTCCCCCCCCCCACCCCATCCCATGCCGGGGGCAAGCAGCCAATCAAAGCATGTTTGCAGTAAGCATCATTGGACACTAAGACATTCTTATTACACACAGCCAATGAACAACACAAAAATCATTAGGAATAATTTATTATGATGCTGTAACGGGTTGTGTTTTGTGGCTGATAGCCTAAACACTTCTGCCTCATTTATTTGCATTTAAGGGAGGTCATTTTTAACATCCTCAGCTAAATGCATGAAAAAATCCTAGTATTTCACATGAATGTGGGATGGCTATGTGATATTATGCTATCACTCACATTAAAATTACATTCATCCATAACTGCTTCTCCAGTGCAGTGACTCCGTGAGTCCTGCACAAAAACCAGAGTGGAGTGTTCTTGGGCAGAACACTACACACATTCCACATTGCTGGGGGTTGGGATTTGAACCCATCATCTCATGGTGCTATGGAGTCTGTGCTACCCACTGTACCACCATAACAAAAGTCACATCTGAGCTATTAAGGTCTCCGAAAGAATCGTGCACGGCATTGTACTTTCCATTCATACATTAAGAATGTTAAGCTAAAAAAATCCACTATATGCTAAATTACTCGTGAAATTTAAAAAACTGAGTCAAACAAAAAATAAATTAAGAGCAAACTTTAGAAAGTGTTGAAAATATATTAACCGTTGCACTGGACACATTAAGATGAATAAATCTGAGAAGCGAATGTGAAAAAAAGATCATTCCCAGCATGCTCCAAGAAATCGTCAGCTGAGATAACCGTTGGTTTGAAGGAGGGGAAAAAGCAATTTTATGGATATTAACAGTCTGTTTATTACATCTTCTCTAGATTAATCTTTATTCGTTTTAGTTGAATACATCTGTTAATCATATTTTTAAACATCTTTTTCTATGAATTCACTCAATGTGCCAGGTTGACCATCTCCAGTCCCCCCTCCCTCTTCATAACCCAATCTGTGTCTCACAGTGGAACCCTGAATATTCAAATCACCCGATTCCAATTTATGTCAATCTGTGATCTGTATAAACACTCTTTTCATCAGGAACCTTGAAATGTACTGTGCCAGTCATTAATTGTACAAGCAGTTGCAGGTTACAAATGAGATCCAGTCCCTAAGTCTGTTTTTAAGTCAGAAAAATAATAATACAGTACTGTACATAATAATTATTATTATTTTACAGTAACAATAAAGATAACGACATACGATGCTGTACTGTACAACATGCTAAAGTCATGCAATGTTTTCACAAGGGTCACAAATATTGTGTGCATTTGTTATTACGAACTATTGTATTGAACCTGAATTTGTAATGCGATAAGTTTTATGGCAGTCCATTCTTAAGTACGAGCTGTCTGTAAGTTGGGCGTTCTTAACCAAGGGACTGCCTATGCTCAGCCAGTATAATGGTTCTCCTCCCCAGTTTCTTCCCAATCTGACTCTGACTCTGTGGGTTTTCGTAGGACACCTTGTGGATTTGATGCCACGGCTGTTTTTTGTGTCGTGGATTTCAGGCTGGTTTTCCGATTAAACAGCTGTTGGCTCCGCCCTGCAGTAAAATGTCTGCCTTTGAAGAGGTTTGATACAGCATCTCTGCATATTAATACTATGTTCTTTTCGAAATTAATTACAGCCAAAGGAAAATAATCCAAACGTATCCATCCGTTTCTCTATTAAATGCTGCATTTAATAAAATGCAGTTAATCGCACTTTGGAAAGTTCCAGTGATGGTGATTCCTGAACAGAATATATTTGTAATTTCTTTACAAAATGGACAGAAAATGAACAAAAATAGCAAAAGTAAATGCACAGGTTAAATTATGAAAACCTTCTTGGACCATGTGCCGGATTTGGAAAATACATCGAATTATTACTCTAGCGATGTAATACTACTCAGTACTACCAGGGTCACTCAGTCCTCGGCTTCCAGTCTAATCGGAGATGCTGAATGTCTCTCAGGTGTCCATTGCATCAGAAATTTACATTCTTGCCAGGCTTAACTGCCTGTAAAACACACCATGAATAACTTATTTGTATGGAAAAAAAAAACCCAGAAGCTAGATGATTAATGTGTGATTTGATGACATCTTCTGTCACCAGTTAAATTTCAAGACAGGGACACGTACCAGAAAAAAATCTCCAGTTATGGAACGGCCAATTACTTTATTTCTAAAAGCAGTGCCCTTCTGATGCAGCACACCCAGCATGACTTGTGCGCAGTGTAGCACGCAGTTCCCGCGCGGACTGCCGCAGGCGTCTGCGATTGACATGCTGTGCATGGAAAATTGGGCTTTCCACTCGATTCCGCCTGCTGTCCTGCAGGCACCTGGCTGACAGAGGCAGGGGGACGAGGGCCATTGAAACCACTGGAAGCAGAATTTGAGAACATAGGGGTTCTCTTGTATATATGTCACAATATAGATTGAATCCCAGTTCCCCCTGTAGGATGTTTCCTGTTTGAACCATATAGACATATGGACAATATTTCACATGTATTGGTATAGTTTATAGTAACAGATGTTGGTACATTTATAACTCTAAGTAACTTGCATGCTTTTATTCTGTATGCAGCAAAAGTTCTCCCCTACTGCCCACATCAAGCTTATTGTAGATGTTCCTTGACTGAGCGGGCAGCGACTGTTGCTTCACATCTCCAGGGTTGTGGGTTCGGTTCCCGCCTCTCACAAGTTGTGCTTCCTCTGGCTCCATCCCAAAGCTGCTATGTGGCCCATAGTCCATGTGTTTATGTTTTTAGGGGGGGGGGGGCAGTCCCACACAGGGTGCCCCCGTCTCACAGCCAGTTCTTCCTGGAATGGACTCCAGTATCATCATGACTGGATAAGTGGTTATGGAAGATGGATGGATGTACTGATAGATTCCCAAAAAAGCGTAAATGATACCTTTGTCATTAAAGTTATGAATTTGTATTTTTATCTGTATAAATATGAAACACTTCATTTGGTAGTTGTAATCAGGGGTGGCAGGGGGATGTGTACCATCAATATTTAATTTGGCTTCATTCTTCCCCCCCTTAAAGTTATTAAGTTGCCCCCTGCAGTATCAAACTCTGTCCTACACCTTTGTTCAAAGTATAGAGTAGTGCCCTGTCTTTTCTGGAGACGTTACTACAGTCGTCCAAAATTACAGCAGCTGCCTGCTGTAACCGTCTTCTCTCTTCAAGGTATCTGTCAACGTTGATACTTTAATCTGCCACTTGGAGCCCAGAAGGGCCCGAGACTCAGAGTGATTCATTCCTGAGGTTCCATGTGGGAACGGCGATGATTTTATGTGTATGGTTTGCTTCATATGGGAGACGGCGCAATACGGGCAATATGACAGCAACCACGATGAATTCATTAAGGCAAATCAGCGTACTGCATGGATATTAACCATTCGTATCAGTTTCCAGTTGACCCAAATCCACTGCCACTGGCACCTTCCCCTCCGAATATTAAGAGCTTGTACTAAACATAAAATTGTGTCAAGCCTATCTGTCACTCCTGT